AATGAGGAATCTAAATGTTCCCGAAGAGGAGCGGTTTCTTCTCCCCACTTGTGCGAGACGTCAAACCAAAAAAAGACGATCCCGTCTCTCAGATAATTTATTCTAACTTAATTGTCTGTAACCACGAGACATACGTGAAACGATATACGATTGTAAGATAATTGATTTCGGCAATCCGAAGCCTCTTAATCTGTTAACACACAACATCTAAATCAACACGGATATCTGTGTGTAAACTTTAGTCCGCGCTTAAGATATCCGGGATATCTCAAACACAACAGAGAGATAGCTTAGATAAATCTACAGCGTGTCTCTCAAATACAAAAGACTCTCGAGCGTCAGAGAGTTAAGTGTATTTTAATACACACGAATTAAGAAGCAACGATTTAAATACCTTTCTTTGATGATTTGTCGAATTCTTTTATCGTTTTGTAAACTTTTTCTATTGCCACGACTTTGTTGTTTTATTTGTCTAAGAATTAATCGACCGGTTGTTCAAACATAAACAATGTTCCAAACAGCGCTTATCGGAAACCTGTTAATCGGCTTCAAACAGCTATATCAAACTGATTAGTTAACACTTTCTTTATCAACGAAGAGAAAAAAATCTGATTTTTTTCTTCGCAAACGACACACAGCTATTAAATTCCGCAATTTTTATGTCGATATCAGATCGCAACGATATAGACTCACACTCGGCGATGCTATCGACGGACGCCCCGATATCGTGCAAACAGAACGATAAACTTACACGACAACGTCATCTTTCGTGGCACTCTCGTGGACGGTTGCGTGGGCTTCGTCGGAGAAGCTAAGCTGATAACTGTGATCGACTTCTCGAAATATACGCGACAACGCGAGAAATCCGATAAGTCGACCGGTTTCTTTTACCGCGAAAATAAAAAAAATAACTCAGGATAATTTTCTTCCTCAAAAATATTCGAAACACGTTAAGTGACGTGTCACAGAGGTTATCCACAACGTGTATGTATTATGTATCAAATATAAATTATACAGAAAAAAAAAATTAATTAATCCACTGATATACATAGTCATAAATATTCAAACCTATAGTTACTAAAACACTGTAAAAAAAAAAAAAAAAAAAAAAAAGGATAAATGTCAAAGAACACACGAGCGATAAATAAAGTTTACGTTGCTTCTTTTCCGATAAAAACTTTCATTTTAGAAACGAGAGAAAGGGAGAGCAAAGCGTTTTATAATTATCGAGCATTATTTATAAAGCGTTACATACAGCAGTCACGTTGGACGCGATACTTTATAATGAATCATGAAATAAACTGATAATTCAGAACTCCTGGTCTAAACATAGACGACGACAACCGATGCTGCAATCAAACCTTTCCGGCGTTAACGATTTAATTAATAATAAAATACTGCATAAATATTTGTTCTCGTTATAGCTCAAAGCACGCCGACGCTTTCAGTCGCGTTCTCATTAAATTTTCGCGTTAAAAAGAGCGGCCATTACCAAGCGGGAGGATCAAAAGTCTCACATTTCGTTATAAATAAAACGCAAAACTCACATTACAGTTTCACATTATCATTCCGCCCTAATAAAATATCGAGCATTATAATTACTAACAAAGATTGAATAACCCGTTTTCGTGTGTCATTTCATTTATTAACACTCTTCAGAATGTATTATTGTCGATTAAAATCAGTGTCAGTTTAACTGCACCGCTAAATCGCGACCGATAAAAACAGGAAAGCGGCGGTTCAATTAAAACCGGTCTATAAATCATGCAGTGCGCAAACATAAACACTGTGCGTGAGTAAACCATTATCGCACAATTCGACACACACTCGGTTTCTTTCTCTTGTTTGATTTTTTTTCGTTTTTTTTCTTTCTTTTTTTTTTACAGAATATTCTTTTCGATCGCGCAACATTTCTGCGTCGTGAAAGATAATGACCGCGGTCGATACGATCTAGCGCTTTCGAAACAAAACGCGATCGATCATCGAAATTTAAATCTCGCGACGATAAATTCGCCGCGTGCGAAACGTGCATTATCGCACGCGTACGTGTATGTGTACGTACACACATACGCGTTATCGCTCGTAAATATAACACATACGGACGTCAGCCTAAATGTGGCGGATCAAAATGGATCGCCTTAGATTGTCGAGAGCGTGATGAATTAATGACCGGCGTTATCTCGCCGATTAGCCGAATACGATGTTAAGTTACATCTGCACGTACCATCGAGAAGCCTCGTACTGAAAGTGACCGCAAATCGAGCCCGAACCGGTTTCACAAGTAGAAAGAAGAAGGAATTATTAATGTTGTTTACCGACGAGTTTCAACTTTGTAAAGTATTTAAATTATATATATATATAGTATACTGTATTTAAATTAGTATTTATATACTAAATCTACACCGCGCATCGTTAATTTTAATTATTTCAAATTTTATTATTTCAAATTCACCAGAATAAATTGGCAAAGTTATAAATTTGTGTATTTTAGAATTTTATATTTAATATACTTTGTGTATTTTAGAATATTATATTTAAAATCAGGCGATGAATTAAATGTTCAATTTTGTAGACACGAAATTTCACGTTACTGGCAAAACACAGAGAGAGATTGGAAATTGATAGATGTTGCGAGCTTTATTTGAATTGATTATGTCCGCGCGCGCGCGCGCAAAAAGATAGTTTACATACTTTATTCGTGAATGTAAAGCCATAACATGCGCCCCGTAAGCACACCGATACACACACGTCGTCTGTTTGTTCGCTCGCAGCCAAACATGTCGCGTTTTCATTTCAGCGTGACTACGGTTTTTGCGCCGTGATTGACAGCCGCGGTCGCGGCGCTGCACACTTGTGCACTCGGCGTGCTCCGCAATTACGCGTGTAATACTCACGCCGAGAAATAAATTATGCGCATACACGGGTGGTCTCTAATAGATTTATCGATAACCGCGGCGCGGACGCGCTAACAAAGTAAACTCTCATATCCAACCGCCGAGTTAGCGAGAATCGAATATCGACAAAAAAAAAAAAAAAAAAACTGCGAAAAAATACCGTTCGATGCAATTCTTTCTGACGAGAAATCGATGCGATCGTTAGCGAAATTCGGAGCGACCTCGGTAACGCGTTATTAATGCGCGGCTCTATCATTGTCGTTTGACCGTATACGGACCGATCGATCCGAAAACGAATCGATCGAGTCGGTTCGCGCTAGCCCGCTAAGTCGCTCAAATCGCGATAATGCAATAACAAAGATTGATACGACGGCATTACGCGAGTGTCCCGTCTCGGATAATTTAATCGGACGGCTCTCGCCCTCCCATTTGCGCGGATTAAATCGATTTGGTCGAAAAATTTATCGCCGCCGAAACTGCCCGGGGTACAACCTCGACAAGATCCTCTCCCTTTCCGCGCTCTCCGCACTCTCGTTCAGTCCCAATTCCGGTAGTTTGACACTAATTGGAGCAGGTACCTTCCTATCCGCTACTCGACTATATTCATTACGACGGTCACGGATATATGTGGACATTCACCGTTAGCTGCTAATACGCGAGGAGAATTCGACAGAATAGCTATTTCGAAGGGGGCGGGTGACAAGAGGGTCGCGAGAATGGTGTTCCCCTATTATCTCCTTTACTCGTGGGGAAAATTCCGCTCTCACCCTCCGCCCACTCCTCGTTCCGTCGCCACTCTCGGAACTCTCATTCGATTCCCTCTGAAATTGCCTCAGGAATTTCGTAGCCCGCCACGGCGCGGAAACTGAAACCGAACTTGGATCTCTCTCTCTCTTTCTCTCTGCCTCAACTTCTTCCCCGAGCCATTTCCGATTGGCTGCGCGCATATATTAAGTCTCGTTTCACGGGATTGTTCGAGAATTAGCTTTTCCACGCAGCTCGCGCGGAAGAAACGTCTATTTATTCCGATAACAAACGCGCATAACCGTATAAGCGATAAACGATTAATGTTGATTGCGCAAATGCCTACTTCGGACCAAAGAGAGACGTTATATAAATAGCGAGTTCTATGTAAATTAGCTACATTGTGGGTGAGTAATCTTCTCTTGCGAGTAACTCAGCCATTGCCTACGGTAATCTCAAAGATTTATTTCTTGCTAACGCAATTTTCAGAAACCGTATCGCTTTGAACTGCTACAACGTGCTACCGTAACAAAGAGAACAATAAGAAAGAAACTAGAAAGTAGGACAAAAATAAAATCCCAAAACGTGACGCGCGCTATGTTTTCAGAAAATAAAATCTCGTAAAGTTGACGTTTTTGATCAAGCGAATTTGAAGTTTAAAAGCAACGAAATTAAAATAATAAATATATACTCGCAAACAGAGCTCATAACAAAAACACAAAGTGTCTTTACAACGTTACGCGAGCAGACAATTTGCATTGCATTACGCTCAAAACGCATGTTTAATGACCATCTGGCCTGATACGCAGATGAAGACAGAAACTGCGACGGGGAAATGTGTGTTAACTATTTCTACGAACGAACGAGCACGAGTGTGCGAGCTTGTGAGGATGTTACAGTCTGCTATGCTTCGCAGGCGGAACAGACAGTTTTCTGTAGTCATGCGCGTATCTTGCGCGCGGCAACACATTCGTGTGAAAGTAAATCCGTATTCACTCGGATATTCCCGGAGAAAAATGATTCCTCCATAGAGACCCGCTTCCCGCATTTATCCTTACTTGCTTCGCGCGATTCAATTTGCTCGCGCGATGACTTATGATTTCCGGGCGTATCTATCAGAGACGTGTTACGGATTCCGGAGACCGAAAGTTCGATCGGAAATACGAGACAGTTACGAGCAATAAAAAAAAAAAAAAAAACATCCTTTTACACTTTTGCACGTTTCTCTCGTGTGCAGATTTTTACTTTATTATTATTATTATTTTTATTTTTATTGCATTTTTTGTATCGCCCATTACACTGTATATGTTTTTGTTGTGTGAATTGCTTAAGTGTGTCTTTTTTTCTTTTTTTAACACTCACCAGTACTGCATTTCCAGTCTATCAATTGCGGCTGTCGAGATATATCCCCAGATGGGAACGCGAGCAAATCTACAAATAAAAAACAATATAAGTATCGTGAACAAAACGATATTCTTCTCGACGCGCGCACGAGTTTAATTAGACATTACATGTATTAGAAATTACTCCAACGGTATTACATATATATCTGTGTCCATTATTTTCACGCCAAGACGAGCAATCGTGCGATTACCGTGGTAAATAAACAGGTTTATCACGCACAATGTTTTTTAACACACGCTTAAATAGAAGCAAGAAAAAATTACGCACTATATAAACAATTTATAATTATTATTATTAATTATTTTACACAAGGCTTTCTCTCTCTCTCTCTCTCTCTCTCTCTCTCTCTCTCTCTCTCTCTCTCTCTCAAGCTTCTAAGTACTTCGATTGTACTTTTATATGTGGTTGTATTCTTAACACGAATTTTTAATTGCACACTCATATCAAACTCGTAACAATATTCAAGAGTTAATTGCAATTTGTACATGTAATACATGTGTTTTATTTATGTTCTCTTCGTGCTCTGTGTCGGACGTGGTGGACATAAACACAACCATCAGAACTCAGAAGTTCACATAAATATTATACTGGACGTCGATAAATAATAACGTACGACATAATGACGGAGCAATTATAGCGAACGTAAGAAAAAAAAGACGGGTGGTATCGAATAGAAACGGTATAGTCGAACTAGACATTTTCCTTTTTAATAGTTCAAAAGATCTGTTTTCTCCATAAGACATTTATTCTATAGTGACGAACGATGTCAACGTGTGACCACGGGCGAAACATCGATTAACGCTTCTTCATGTTTTTTTGTACGACGTTTCTGTTACGACGTTTTTTTTGCGTTACGTGCACGTTTTACGCTTATCTTTACGAGCTTTTAACCCACGTAAAAGCGCGTGAAGATACGAGATACGTGTATGTCGATTTTTCCAACAAATATACGTATATAGCAGCAGAAGACATTTCACGCAAACGTTAATGTCTTAATTTCTTTAACTTCTTCATACACGAGCATTTCTATCCCCTTTTTTTTTTACATTCTACAACTTTTATCACATACATCTCTATAAGAGATGCATCTGAGTCTTCGAGTTGAGTCATCGTTCGATCATCATGTCGTTCGATATCGTCTGGACACTTAAAAAAGAAAATTAAAAATAAAAAAAATAAAAAAATAATAAAAACTAAAAATCGATGCGAACGAGCGTTATACATAACCACGGACGTTTTTCTAGAAAGTCGACACAGCATCGCGATAAATATCCAACGCGGTAAAACCGAGCGTTAATGCACGCTCGGGAACCGCGATTTATTTAATCCGGTCGATATTTCGCGCGAGATACTACGAGCTGCGATCCCGATGCGATTTGGCAATCCCGTCACCGGAAATAGGCTCGTAAAAGTGTGTAACGTGATAAACCGTATCGCGTTCGTCGTCACTGCAGAGGTACTAACTACGATATTTTAAAATCGATACTCTCCGAGTTTCGATACTCGCGCGCCAGTCAGTATTTTTATCCGCGAGTTAGCGTTTGACGTTTTTACCGCGACACAACTGCTATGTGTTTAGTGCCAATTATATTACGTGTGTGCAACAGTTTATTTCTCTTAAAAAACTGTTTGCAATGTATGCAAAAATTTTGTGCATAATTCTCTAAATATTTTTCTTTTGAAGAAAATAGAACACCGGCACCATGAAACACGAGATTTTACCCATATGAGAGGAAGCGCAAATCACTATGTCAGAGCTAATGACACGTTTTCCATGCGGGCTGCCATTAGAGACAACGGTAATTTGTTATACAATGTGGTCGGCAGCGTGACATGCGCGTGACAACAAACGTTTTTATTACTTTTCGTCGAAGATATATCAGCCATTTGTCCGACTCCTCTTCGCGCATGTACCGTTATTATTGCGATTTACTTCGTCGCGCTGGCTGTACCAGATATTAAATTGCGTCTCTGAGAATGCAATAATGGAGGACATTTCATACACATTAAATCAATCCCGGTCGAAATCGATCGCAATTTCCTTCAAATCGTGATTAACGTCTTTTAACTTTTGTTCTTGAAAAGTTATTCCACGTCGAGTTTGCCCGCAAACATACACACACACACACACACACACACGCGCGCGCGCGCCCACAGAATCGCGCACCTGTACAAATACGTACAGGACACATGCACGTACAGAATGACAATGGATCACGCGCGCAAACTTATCGCGCTCGAAGTAATAACGTTGCTTTTTATCGCTCACACCGACAGTGGCTGCTCGTTTGCGGACACGCGGAAAAATCGTTAAAAGGTCGTTAAGCACGAATTACGGTCCGGTTCGAGCTGGTCGGCCGCTGAAAATCGCGTTTTGTCGCAACGTGATAGAAAAGAACTCTTTAACACCAGAATGTTGTAAGCCTCTCCCCTCACCTCCGATCATTGGCAAAAAGATGAAAAGAATACAATTCCCGCATGCGCTTTGTTTCTTTGTACTCTCGAGCGAATGACGCACGACATGCCTGAACGAGCAACAAACGTTATAAAAAAAACCTCGTGATCGGTATTAAACGCAATATTTTATAACTTTTCAGTTCAATAAAAAGTCGTAAATGATTAAATATCAGTGCCGAAGTAATTAAAATCAGACGATATTAAATACAAAAAAAAAAAAAAAAAAAAAAAAANNNAAAAAAAAAAAAAAAAAAAAAAAAAAAAAAAGATTGATAGTGTTGGGAAATTTTTATTCAAACACGCAAATGTTGTGTATGCGCTTATCAGTAACAAACAATAACAAATTAAATTTGTACTGTTTTCAAAACACGCGCGTATTTTGTTTATTTTTTTTTGTAATAAATTTCTTCAAAATTTAGTCTGGTGTGCCATTACAGTTACAATATTCACTGCATCAAAGATGTTTTGTAACAATAAACTTACTGACTCGCGCGCGAGTTATAAAAATAAACACGTATGTCGGTTGCAGGTATGCACGGTTATTTTTAAAAGCATCTGAAATGTAGATATTGATGCATGACAAACCACGGTGAATACTGCACAGGGCATATCGCGCCACGCCACTATGCTTTATTTTCGAATCGAGACATGCATGCACGCACGACTCACGCACGCACGTACGCACGCACGCACGAACGTTAGCGTGACACTTGCAATCTCGACCGCTCGCGGAAACACATACCGGCTCGGCTTCGAGTTAATCTGCCGGGAGCGTAGGCGATACCGCGGAAAAGTGTCAATTCGTGATTCGCAGTGTTCGTATCTCCGTTAAGCCGGTTTTGCGAGCACACCATCACGCACACACATGCGCATGTACGTTCGACGAATATTCAACAAATGAAAATATTTACTGGTTTATACGCATTGAATCGTGGTTCTCCCACTTTTTGCATTTGATATGCTACAAAAGCGCGAAACAATCGATTATGTTTTTTAAACAGAAGAGTATATAAACCAATATTTATATCGATGTTTCGCCGTGTCTCTCTCCACGGTCGTTTGTGTGTATGTGTGTGTGTGTGTGTGTGTGTGTGTGTGTGTGCGCGCACACATTTCTACTGTTTAATACAATAAAATAACACTTAATAAAGTGTTGTACAATTGTGCGATGTTATCTGTTTTATATTGTTGCTGCATATTTTTTGTTTTTCGTTTTTATTTTCGCTACACACTTTTTTTCAAAGTTGATATTTAAAAATGAATATTACAACACAGAATATAAACACCACAACTTTGAACTTTCTCTTCGGTATTTTTTACAACTGCATGATATTATGTAAACATGTGAAACGCGTGAAAAGCTCTCTATTACGGTGATACTTAGAGAAAATACCGTCATTCTTCTAATACATCCTTCTCCTTTATAAATAACTCAGTGCCGACCGACGCGTTTTCGGCTGGCTTTTACGTTATCGTAAACCGAACGGAAAGTAGTGCCGAGAAAAATCATCAAAGTCGCTGAATGCTTTTCAGACTTTTACGGATGTAAAAAGAAAAAGAGAAAAAAAAGAGAGAAAGAGAGAGAGAGAGAGAGAGAGAGAGAGAGAGAGAGAGAGAGAGAAAACACATTGCAAGTCCCGTAAAAGCCAAGACGATTTGTCGTCCGTTCGGAGAGAAAGCTCGGAACAACCTGAATATTACAGGCCGCTCCTTTATCTTCGCATCAGAAGCTGGCTTTTACAAGCGCGTCAACGCAAGTACCGATATTACGAGCGCTTTCACGACGGAAGAGAATGGTCGGCACTGCCTCAAAGGGAATTCTGTCAGACTCGACGTCTTGTTTACGCCCGTTTGAATCGTCGAATTCATTCTGACTCGTTCGAATTTTATTCTCCGCGAGAAATAAGCGAAAAAAGAAAGAGACACGCTCGCTCGTAGTTTGACATTGAATGAGTCATGAAATGCAAAGTGCATAAACTGAAGTTTGAAAGACATAAAACTGTTCTCTTTCAGTTTTCTTTTTCCATTTTTCAAATAAAAATGAAAAGAAAGAAAATAAAAGAAGAGACTGATCTCAAATTGATGAAAAAAAAACGTTTCCCTTCGACAAATTCTATCAAGAACGAACAATAAATTAACGAACAAAAGTGTCGTGTGCGGTAGCCTAATTAACAATATTCACGTTTCCTTTACTTCAATTGTGACACAACATCTTTTGTACACAAAAAAAAACATTCAAAAAAAAAAAGTAACAAGAGTCGGGTTCGATCCCTTTTTATGATGTCGACTGACTAGGGTATGTATCATCTCGTCTCTAATGCTCTTCGGGTTTCTCGTTTTTCTTGTTCTTCATTCTAACTTTCAGCTATACCAATCCGGAGGACGATTCTTGGAAGGTAAACAAGTTCGAGCTTCGTTTTACTGCAATGAGCTGGACCGGATTCGAGTTTCTTCAAGCGGCGGGTCGTACTTTACAAATCGCTCATGATTAATGTCCTACTGTGAAAAACGAGAATTCATATCCGCATTCGATATTCACTCGTCTTGTTTCTATTGTTGATTGAACTTAACCGACAAACGATTACCACCGTTTTTTTCCCCAAAAAATCGATGTCACGTGTACGTTCCAATCGTATCGAACAGTTTTTCTTATCAAATTATTTTTTGTTGGCTAACATATCGAAGAGTTAAACACTTACGTGGGCACACGTATAAATCCCGATAACGATACTTTTAATCATCTTTTGTGAACGCAATCAATTAATGTGTTTTGTCATGACAATGTTTCAAAATAACCAGACAACATTTCACGATATGTTGAAATAGATTCAGCTAATATAAACAATTTCAAATAAGAAATAACTAATATAAATAATTTCAAATAACTTTCTATGGATATTTTTTCACTCGTTAAATGTAAAAGCGAATCCGAGTTATTGAATATAATTATTACACGTATGAGCGTGACGTAATCTTCAGAGAAACGTTTGTTATTACTCCAAAAATATATGGAACGACGTATAAATGATTGTAATATATTTTCAGTTTTTGTTTTACGACACCTTGCGATAAAATTGTGATAAAACCAATGGCACTGAAAAAGAGACACACAGAGCTCGTTATGTAAATGCATTTAAGAATACTCGCGACCTGCCTTGAGGCGTACCTATAAGGAAAAAATCACAAAGCGGTCTTTCAAAATAATAAAAAAAAAAAAAAAAATAGAAAAAAATACAAAAAATAAAAACCAAAACAAGAAAAAGAAAAGAAAAATGAAATTGTGCATCACCGACGCGATCCGCTGCTCGAGTTACGAGCGTCTGCTTTTTTCTAAAGCCTTCCTCGTTGTAGCGTCATTATACGCTCCGATAAGTCCGGTAATGCCCTTTAATAACTAAGTAGCTTGGCTAACGAAATATGCTGGAAAACAGGGATTCCTATTCGACGGTTTGTGTGAGAACCGAGTCCATTAACGAAATAAAAATCTTTCTTGTTCCCTTGCCGCGGCAAATTTGCAAATGTTAAATTGCAAATTATTTATTATATGGATATAAATATGGATAAATATAAGTACGATCGATAGAGGTGTGGTGGCGGTGAAGTATTTTATAGCGATGATTATTAATAGTCATCAAACACACGAGAAAGATAATTAATAAATGCATATTGAACACGAGAGGGGAACAGAGAAGCAATTAATTTCATTATTGGAGGATATTGTCGAATTGTATTTAAATAATTAACCCACATCGTCGGATTAACAATCTCTCGGATTCTCGTCGCGCTGATGATCTTTTTAATTTCATCGTCAATTAAATCTCTGAAAGTATAATATTCTGCAATTATTTCAATATCGATACGCAAAAGTACGGGCGCGCGCGCGCAGAATTGATTGAATGCGCGTCTGTTTGCCGATGCATGAAACATCAATATGCAAAATGTAGTACGAGAAATGTCGCACTCAAGTACCGCATTGTAACGTAATACGAGTTTTGAATTATTGCCGTCGTTGATGCTCTTCGCATTTTATATCCAATCGTATTTGTATAATTAATTAACCTCATTAAGAACATATAGACAGTAAGCTCATTAAAATGCATTCAAATATATGAAACATTCAGTTTCTACGAATTATCTAAAATTAGTTGACGCGAAGTCAGATATTTCATTCTATTAGTTCAAGCTGAAAATACGCGTACAGCTCGAAAATGTAGAAAATTAATTTTCATTAATAACACGCCCCGGGGAGAGGAATAGAAAGAGGGAGGGAGGGAGGGAGGGAGAAGAGTGAAATGTGAAGTCTCGCGAATATGTACATATCCGAAGAGACTGCACCAACTGAAGCAAAAGCCGCGCGTGTATTTTAGATACAAAATATACCGGAAAATATATACGCAAAGAGATAGTAAAAATATATACTCCGCGCGCGTTGAATCCGAGCTGATCTTCGCTCGCTGAAAATTTGATCAAAGGCCAAATGTAACTTATGAGTTTTCAACGTTACATATTTCAACAACGGCGTTCCAAATTGAATTTATCCGAGTTTTATGTGTGTCTGGCGTGTATCAAAGTAAAAGAGCGAAATTCAATTCGTTCTGGGTCAATCTATTAATATTAATAAATTCACGTAAAATAAAAACGTATAAAATAAGAATTTTGAAAAATTTTGCTCGGTAAAATCGATTCCGAAAATGATGCCGATATATATACAACGTATCTTTTATCGTTTTTCTTAACGAAACCTCCGCCTGAAAATTTCGTCCGCGTGAAAAACCAAAGAAAGAACCGGAAGTGAGAAGAAGGAAAGGGAAAGAGAAGGAATTTTTACGGGTGAGCTCGGTAAACGCTTCCTTTATGTGAGCCGTACGGCTTACTAATGAGTGCTTACTAATGGCACTAATGAGTGTCGCAACAAAAGAATCATCGTTGCCGCACGAAAGTCGTAGCCACAATACCTCGTGTGCAGGTCGATAAATAATTCTGCGGGGACACCGCGCGGCCCACCGTTCGGCTCCGTATGTTGCGCGCGTACACACACACACACACAGCAAACTTATGCGCTTGTCGTATCCTTTGTCCCACGCGTGTTGAGTTAATCCACAGGCAGAAGAGACACGAGGAGGCGGCAAAAGCCGAACGCACTTTATTATTTACGTATCCACATTGACCGGCGCGAAGGAAACAGGCACAAGCAGCGGACGCAGCTCACACTCCATTCGCACGTAAGACAAGAAAAAAAAAACGGCCGGATACGAGACACCAACCACACACGATATAACACCACCAACACGCAGACAAAAACACTCTGTACTCACTCGAGAGCTTCACGCAGATACACACAACACCGGCATGCGTGCGTGCGTATCATGCACGCGTACCAATATATACATCTATGCACTGTACACACAGACGACGCGCAGCGAACGTACACATGTGCGCAATCTCTCGTCGTTCGGTCGCGTCGCCGGAGACGGCCGAACGGCCGCCGAACAACTGCAAACGGAGCGAAGCACACGCGGAAAAGACCGACGCACACTCGCGAAATCCATGCTCCGATATCACAGTTGCCACGAACGGAGATTACGTAGGGTGTTTACTTGTCACTGTTATTTTCTACTTTTGTGTCACGTAAAACGTTTTTTTATCTTTTTACGTGAGCAATTTTACCCCGAACTGTGCTTGCGCGCACGTCACACCGGTTCGAGCGCTTGGCGTTCACTGAGCTGAAGTCTGCCCCTTCCCTCGCGCACAATGCTGCCATCGCCATTACCACCACCGCTCTCTAGTGCCGACGGTACTGCTGCTGCTACAGCGTGGTTGGAATAGCCGCGTTTTGTTAAAGAACGATTCTTTTCTCGAGGGGAAAACACCGGTGCAATTGCAGTTTACGCAGTTTTGTAAGCGCACGCTACAATTGAGAGAGAGATTACTGTAAATTTTTATATAAAGTACATAGAAAAAAGAAAAACAAAATTAAAAACAGATGATTTCGAACAACGTAATTGTTTGTAATTGTAAGTGCGTTCTTTTACGATAAAAACAATAAAAGAAACAATCTCTTTTATTACAAAAACACTGCGAATTATTGATGTTTATGTAATATAAGGACGAATGTTTACGGCAAAGCGCGCGCGAGTTTTATTCATATTTAATTTCGCGCTTTTTTTTATTGTTGTTATTACAAATACAACAATATATAAGAGAATAAAATATCACGAAATAAAAGTCGCAGATTTAGTTGTTTGTACTTTCGCAAATTCGTACGATGTTTTATCGTCATAGAAAATGAGAAAAATAAAATGAGAAGTCTTTTTATTTCCAAGAATGAGCATTTTTACGTCTTCAAGATGTTATACATCACACACCGCCCGTTACACATATGCCCGTCACACACGGCGTCTATTTCGCCGGATGACCACGCATGCTGTACGACGCGAACGGTCGAACAATAAACCACGCGTTTACGGCGCCGTAGTCTATCTATTAGTCTTCGCCGAAAACTGTGAAACTCACGGTGACTTCGTGCCAGGAATTCGTGCGATGAATTTTGCACGAGTACGGGCCACAAATAGCCTTGGGACGGGGTTGGGACGAGAGGAAGAAACGTGTGGCCGAGGTTCAAAAGGAATCCTTCTGCCGGTGTCTATTCACCGGTGCGACTAATTGCACGGATCTTTTGAGACGTCGAGTCGAGGCAAAATACACGCAAAAGACGAACATACAAAAAAAAAGAAAAAAAAAGAACAATAAAAGACCAGAACTCTCTTTTTACGTGACTAGTTTCTGTCCAGATTTGGTCACATTTTTAAAATTCAAATCACATACGATTCGAGCCGATAATATCTTAGTGAGTTCGCTTTGCTCGGTTAGCGCGAAAAAAAACGCACTTTCTTGCAGTTTTGACTTTTATGCGGAAGATTGAAAAAAAAAAAGTTTTTTTCACGGTAATTTGTTGAAAACATTCTCGGCGACTTTAACGTTAAATTAGCTTTGAAATTTGATTAGCAAGCATCTTTTGTATTACGAACTAATTTGAAAGCAAAGTTAAATTAAATGAAAGATAAAAGTCAGATAGAACTCGACCGCAATATTTTTTGAATAAACATATACGTCTCATTTAACGCTGTCATAAAGCAGTTCTTATCTTTATGACGTGCAATCGTAATGTTAAAGTTTAAATCATTCGTTTACACGTAAATATTTTTTTACATTCTTTACATATAGATAACCCCAATATATGTTATATTTTATAATCTATTTAATTATCATTTTGTTACACGCGTGACTGTGATATGTCACATGTTTCTGCGACGATTTCTCATCTCTTCTTTCTGCCGCCGAGTGATACAGCAACGACGTTCGTTTCTCACGCGTAGAAAAATACTTTTATTTCCAAGTTACCAAGTCAACATCAATTGTTTTTATTGAACGCAATTCATTGAAAATCATTTTATATCATAAGCGGAGAGGAGAGAGAGAGAGAGAGAGAATGAGAAGGTCAGAAATATAACGATAAACAATTGACGAGAACTCCGCGGGAAAAAAATCGAACGCGGTTTACTAACATTCGTTAACCATCAAATTACACACATGCAAACGTTCACTTCACTTTTACCTTCTTCTTCTTTTCCTCCTCCTCTTCCTCTTTTCTTTTGAAATGTGAAACTGCGCGCGCGGTTTCGCGGCCTATAAAGTCTGTTTAAATTCGAGACGCATATTTGACCATTAAGCGTCGCGCGCGCGTAAATAAAGTGCGGAAAAATATGCGCGAGCGGAGCGCAACGGTGAAGAAATTGCACGCGAAAACCTCCACGCCGTTCGTAAACGAGCGGAAAAGTTTTATGCTTCTTCGTTCCTCTCGTCCTTCTTTCCAGCGCGCACGGCAAGGGAAATGCATATTCGCGAAAACGCGGCTGCTCCCGGGGAAACGTGAAAGTTCGTAGTTGGCGCACGTATCCGAAGCTTGAAAAATATGTGGAACTCCCGGCTCGACCCCGCCGAGCGAGCTTCTCGACGACGCCGTTCGCGGAAAACGAGCGCGCTCATCGTGAGCGACGGTCACTTCACTAACAGTGTTTCACTTCTCGCCACGTCGCACTTTTAACGAGGCATTTATCACCGTTCGCCGAGAATTCCGCTCTACGTGTTTTACACCCCCTTCCCTTTTCACACCGCGGGTATTAAAATAAATTACAACGAGATTTTAACATGTCATTATCACGGAGTGTTGTATCTCTATTAACATTTACATCTCCAGTATTAAAATCAACAAACGAACACTGTATTAAAGGTCAAAATGTTGTTATTGTGAAAAGTATCTCTGTTAACATTTGCATCTCCAATATTGAATAATACAATAATTGTGTTAAATAACAGTGTACGTATGTTAATGCAGATGTACGTCATTCGCACATTAGAGTCGACTGAAAAGATTTTTTTTTAATTACGAAAATGCGCAGAGATGTAAAATAAACAGAGACAGATACCCGCGTACAAAAATATGTAAAAAAACAAAAAAACAAAAAAAAAAGGGAAAACCGTATGGAAAAAGCGGTGCAGAAAATGCATCTGCTTCTATAATCGGATTGCATATATTTATCTTCATCAACGCACACATTAGCTGTAATTAAACACACAGTCTTGTATACATTTGCATTTTTTGATATTTGCCACGATGGTTTTTTTCTTCTTTTGTAAATATTGCGTTTCTCTCCCGAGCGTGTCTCGAGGTCTTTGCAGCGGCTTGAGAGAATATACATTCATTAAATCTCGGAAAATATTCTCACGTCGATAACCCGGAGTCTGTTTATCTTTGCACTTAGTACGAAATCCTCCTTACGGAATATCGCTACACTAAGAGGTCGCAGGTTGCCGTAGTGTGCCACCATCGGGGCGTTTCTCCTCGTCCCTCGTGAATTATCTTCCCCGCGCGGAGCGAGTAGGAAACACAAAAGAGATTCCACATTGACACGAATTCACTCTGACGACCCTCGACAATTACGCATTAAGCTTATATAGAACACCTGGCGGATCGATGCCGAGGGCGAGAGAGACCCTTTAGCGTCACGCATCGCCGTGCTTGTATTCATCGAGGGCGAGTAAATTCGGAGCGATAGTGGCTCAACGGCGAAATCTCGCGCGCGCCCTGGCGCGCAGTCGTCTTTTTTAATTTACTTTGATATCGTCAAACACGAGTATTTTTTCGTGGAATAGCGTGTTTATATTTCTCTCTCTCGTACAAACTAGCTTGTTCCCTTTCTTCGTATTTACCGAAAAAGGAAAAACAAAATGAAAGCAATCAATTTTAAGATACTTCAGTCTGCGAAATTAAAAGACACTTTTAACGGCGCCAGTCGATACTTTATACTCAGTACACACACACACACAAACACACACTTTTATAATGCGATATATTGTCAACTTTACAACTTGGCCAGGATAAAAGCACAAAGAAAAGAAGAAATGTATTGAGATTCGACAGCGTTAAGAATCCATTATCTCACGGAACAAAACGCGGAAGAGAGAAAGCGACTACAATAAATCGATACCTAGAAAGCATTACGACGGATCTGACATTCAACGACAATCCGGCTTATCGTTGTTCACACAGTCCGCGACGTGTGACGTATCTCGTATCGATAATAACATCTACCGATGTCGTAATATCTGCTCGAACTGTTTGCCCGGCTATAGTTATCGCGCTGTGCCAACTCAATAATAAAGAGGAACGAACCGAGGCTGGTTTGGTTTAATACGAAAGAGCGCACACATTCGATGTAAGAACACGAATATCTTACATCATTACAAAAACTGTTAACATTTGTCAATTTTGTCGTGAAACAACAAACACGCTAAATGTTTTGGATGACAAAGATGACACACCCGTCCAAATTACTCGCAAACTTGAAACAACAACAAGTTGTGCTTCTTTCCGCGCTGTTGCGGTTCTATTTGACGCGACAAATTACCGCCCTCTTGCAACTCTGTTATTTATGTTTTAATTAGTTATCTTCTTAACAACTACTAACGAGTAAAATTTCACATTCCGTGTTCATGCTCAACATAAAATATTAACATTAAACACACACACGTGTTCTCTCTTCAATATTGAAAGTGGCACAATACGATGGAACTATCTAACGTGCAAAAAAAATGAATTTTCCTAAAATACATTTTATTTAGAGAGAACTCAAGAGATAAAATAAAAAGGTAACAGTCACGCGCGCGTGAAAAGCTCTTCAATCGTTCGCACTCCAGGGGTTACACATGCCTTGATATTTTTCCTCAAGAAGCAATCAACTCCGAATTGATTGAAGAACCGACAGGCGGGCGGAAGTGCGATGAACCCGGGACACCCGAGAAGGGTGGACGAGGGCTGAGGAGGGGAGCGAATATAGTGCCGCGAAGAGAGAAGACACGTGCGCGAATCGATCTACTAAAATGGCTTTCGCTATACGAAATACCGGCAGCCATCAACATCGCATGAATAATAAAGAACGAGTGTCTTTTTTTTCCCTTTTTCTGTAATACACTACAAGTCCTTGCTTATTTCCGCATTATCACTCGTACGTAAAAAAAAGAAAAAAAGAAAAAAAACGAAACGTCGTTACGTTTGCGCGTTAAAAAAAAACGACGCGTAAATGTGCGCATAGGTAAACAATTCTTCGTGCGTGGTCGTCATTAATTTCTTAGTGTAAT